AACCAATGCTGCATTCAACATACCACGTGACACACAAAAATCAATATTTAGATGTGTTATTTTAATATTTACTTTTAAATTAAGAAATTAACTAAGGTATAGTATAAGAATTATAATCTACAATTTGATACCAAACTTATTGACATAAATCATAAAATAGTAGTTCAATAAAATTTTGAATGCAAGTCAACAAATGCGATAAAATTGCCTTTGACCTGTGATGATAGGATTAATAAACATCTTCAGTAGTACTAAACTTGACCAATGGGAAAATAATGCAAACTGAGAACTAGGTACATGGTGTGTACCCATGTATACCCCATTTCTATCACAGGATATATTACATTCCCAGCAGATCTGATAATCTCTGGTATTGAGGAAAAGCCTTATTGGCAGTGGCATACAGATGACAAAGTGTGTGGTCAAGATGCTATTATATTCCACTTTAAGGTCAGTAAAGATATTATCAATCTTATTGTGATGTAATGTCACACAAGCCACAAATCTGTTGTAAAAACTTGTTTTTCTCTCAAATATTTTTATACATTTATTAAAAAGTTAAACTGAGCTTTTGGATAAAATGCATACAACCATTAGAGTGAGAGCCTAATGTAAATGTACTCAAGTTGTTGAGTTGTGCCTGTCCTCTTGCATTTTCTCTTGAACACAAAATAATATTATTCTCTGAAATATATAAGCTATAGAATATATATACATATATCCATATTTTCAGAAAGAAAACAGTGTCTAATTAAAAAAAAAAAATGTGTTTAGTGTAAGTGAACATTTTCTGAAATTAATTCTGAACCATGGTTAACAAGAAACTATTACCTCAAAAATTAGAAAAATAAACTTTTAAGAAACTGTATGATGTTTCTTTATTACAGCCTTATTAACAAAAAATTAAAACTTGAAACATATATTTAGGAAATAAGAATTTACAAGTACTTATCAAAATGACATTTCATTGATTTTGTACAACCTAGAAAAAAGCTTTTATTAATAATCTAAATATAAAATAAATAGTATATATGCTTTATTACCTTAAAATTAGCAAATATATATATTATTTTATAGTACCAAGTTTATCAAGATGTCATTGAGGATGATTATAAACAGAAAAAAATAGAATTTGAGAGACAACAAGAGGAAGAGAGAAATGAAAAAGCTGCTATTAAGGTAAACACATTGTGACTGTGAAATAATCTACACCAGCATTTTTCAAATTGGGGTCTGCAAAGGTACTCCAGTGGGTCTACAAGTCATTTCTAAAATATTTCATATTTAAAAAAATTTATAGGGTAAAAAAATATTTTCATAAAATTAAGTTTATTTGAATTAAAACATTTAATTTTGGAATACAGCTTTTCATGTATACGGATTTTTTTTCCAAAACAACATACATCAATAGGTTTGGGGTTTGCAAAAAAATTTTAAACTGAAAGAAGTCATTGGGTTACTAAAGTTTGAGAACCACTGATCTATACTAATGAATGTGTACCTTTTGAGGATAATTGTTCAGGATACCAGTTTCAGAAGGATTTTTATCAAGACATAAGTGCAACATGACTTTTTTAGACTACTCAAAAATTTTCAAATTTATTTGAAGAATTATGAAAATCAGTTGTCAACTCATAAGAAGAAACTTCTCATGCTTTGAATTTTTGTTATCATGATGAACAACTACAAGGATGTGTATATATATATATATATATTGTAATGTGGTCATTAGTAGAAGGTGAGCTTAATTACTGCTTGAAACATTGTAAAAGAATATAAGTGTCACATATACATTCACAAATAAATGCTATGTCATGAAATAAATTCCAGCAATGAATAGAAAATATGCTTCAAATTGAGAACCGCTTTTAGTTATTTTGAAATGTGCAACTCAGTAGCTGTAATTTGTTAAGGAATTGCCAAAAGAACTGAGCAAAGAGCAGAATAAAAATAATGTTTTTAATTTTAATTAAACTGTACTTTGTGAAGATCTTTGCAAAACCATTTCTATTTGTGAATCATAGTAATCTTTTTATATTTATGAATAGTGTGGAGTCATATTAGATTTATTGAACAACCTTAATGTCCATAATTGTTTTCTTAGAATCAAGTTTTAGCTAGAATGGATAGGTAGGTAGTTAGGTAGATAGATAGATTAATGGTTTGACTCATTGTTCATCAATTAATTACTATATCTTATAAAATGTATAACTGAATAAATAAGAAGAGTGCCATTTTGGATATTGCTGTGGATATAAATCGTAGGTGAGGTTATATTGTATGTTACATATACAATGTTGCCAATTACACATACCCTAAATATAGAAATAAATTATTAGCCAAGTTTTCTTATATTTTGGTGCTACTTATGCTGAATTTCATAGAAGTAACATCAGAATTTTGGTTTAAAATAGAGACATCAACAGAACATGTAAAATGAAAAGAAAAAAACAAATAAGTAGAATTTTCATTAACTATAATACTAAATTTACTTTGGTTTTACAGATTCAAGCATGGTGGAGAGGTACAATGGTTCGTCGTGGTATTGGACCCTACTCAAAAAGAAAGAAGGCAGGAAAAAAAGGTCTTAAAAAGGGAAGCAAGAAAGGTGGCAAAAAGAAAAAAAAATGATATTAATTGAATCTTAATCACTATAAACTTTAATTTTTTGGAAAATATTATCTGTATTTTGTAAAATTGTTTTCAATAGTTTTTAAGTTTTTCCAAAAAAAAAATATTTCATTTCATGTCTAACTGAGAGAGGGCTTTTTGTAGGTAGATTTTCTGCCATCACAATTGAAATAAAACTTAATTTAATTACAGGTGTGAGCATTCTTGCTTCCAAAGTATCATGAATGTTTATTTAGAAATATCTACCAAGTCTTTTATATATATATAAAGAATTGTGTATTGCATCACGTTCATAAAGATCATGGCAATATGCTGCTAAATCTTTTTCAGGATATGATTTGTCAGGTATATTCCATCATTTTTCTTTTACCCGTGTTATTTGATTCTTCCCATTCTGTACTGCATGAAACTAGTTTTCAGGATTACTTTGTCTTTCCTCTTTCACCTAATATTAGGGTTCATGTTGGTTATTTTCCCGAACAACTATGAATCTGTAATCACATGCCTTGTCCTTTTCACTTTCTTGACTCCTGTCCTGACATACAGCCATTATTCCTTTCCTTTTCTAGATTTCCAGTCTTTAGAATCTCTTTTGCCTGGTAGTGGAATGACCCCTTGTTTTCTATTTCACTCTAGTGCCTAGTTATATCTTTGTCTTTTTTACATCACCCAGGAGTGTTTCCTCTCTTCCCTTCACCTTTTGTCTGAGGCACTTCATCATGCCCCAGAGGGTTTTCTGGAAGGGTTTGTTTCTTTCTTTTTTTACTACCTTGGCCTGTACCACTTATTCTCCTCTGTTCCTCCTTTCCTGGTTCCTCTGCCATTGGGACTTGTGAGGTCAGGATGCACTCCTCGCTAATGTCCACTTCCCTTCTTATCTATATGATCTTCGTTGGGCTCCCTTTCTTCACCTAGAAGTCTTTGGTGGTATTCCTGATTCACTGGAGACCTGGGTTGAAGCAGCCTTGCATCAGTGCTCATTATCTTTCTTAGCTTCTCATCTTTATTGACCTTGCCTATTGACTCCTATTTCTCAACTGGTTTAGTCTACCCTTACCTTTCCCATTCCAGTTATCAGGACTTCCTCCTCTTCCCATTTCCCTATGTCAGGATTGTTTCTTGCCTTGCTGGTGGCTATATTTTTGGGTTGGGCCTAGTGGATGCTCATCTGTTTCACTTTGATAACCTTTGGCCTCAGTTTTCTGCCAAGAGATTGGTTTTTCAGGTCCTCACCCATGGTCTCTCTCTCTCTCCTTTTCTTTCCCCTTGTCTTCCCCCTCTTTGTAGTCCCAAAAAGACCAGGGACTGGTGTCTGGTTAAAAACCTATCGTCTCTCAACTGGCTTCTGGTCATTTGACAATTCCAGATCTAGATTTTTTTTTTCTCTCTCTCTGTGATCTTTTTCAAATGGTCTGTGGATAACCAAGGTTGATATGTCAGATACCTTCCAACACATTGCAATTGCCCTGTCCTACACGTTTTCTATGCTTCATCTATCAGAATCAAGTCTTTCAATTCGTTACTCTTCCCACCAGCATAGCCTTTGCCCCTTACAACTTCATTCAAGACATGAGTGCTTTCACTCACTTCCTTCATTGACTGGTTTCTGTGATTCCACTTCTACAGTGGAATCTTTCTTGGGACCATTGTCCTTGATTGTGAAGCTCCCCTCACTTTATCTTAAAGATCTTTCATGGTGACTAGACTGTGCCAATACCACGAATGGCATTCCTTTACCACCACCCTCAACAGGATCTTTATCTCTTCACAGATACTTCCCTCTTGGGTTGGGGAGTACCTATGAAAAATATTAATTCTGGCATTTGGGCACAGGAGGAAAGTTCACTCCACATCAACATGCTAAAACCTTTCACTTTTTTTGTTGGTCATGTTCCCATTTCCTTTCTCTTCTATTGGATCAGTTGGTCATGATCCATGCTGACAGTTTCATGAGTGTTTCTTATATCAACTGTTGCTTTCAGGTTGGACCTCCTCTTCTGAGTTTATTCTCATTGAGCTCATCTCATAATTTTTCATGTTTGAGGGGTTTTGAACCTGGTGGTGAACCATTTCTCTTGACCAGACCATGTTTTGCTTACGGAGTGGTCTGTACATTTGGGGTGTCCTCAGTTGAGCACAGCCCTCATAGATACCTTTCCCACTCCCCTCAGCTCCAAGCTTGACATAATATAACATTACATTTTGATACAACATGGGACCTATTGGTTCATCTCAACTGTTCCATCCTCTAAACTAAACTAAAACTATTAATAAATAAATTTTAAAAAAATCTTAAAGCCAGCCATTATCATTCGTATACTTATCAAGCTTTCTCTTAAGCTCACTTAAATTTACTGCCTCCACAACATCTGAAGGAAACCCATTCCAAAGGTCATCTACCCTGTTAGAAAGATATAACTGTCATAGCTGAAGATGACTCCTACCCTGCCAAAATTTATATTTATGTTCCCTAGTCTTAGTATTCTCACTGTTAAATATGAAATCTTAAGCACCTCAATCAGATTCCCCCTAACTCTTCTTTTTTCAAAAGAAAACAATTTGAGAGATTTCAACCTCTTCTTGTATGACAACCCCTCAATCCCAGGAACCATTCTAGTAACCCTTCTCTAAACCTTTTCCTACAATTCAATGCCTTTCCTAAGGTAAGGAGCCCAAGACTGAACACAGTATTTCAAATGTGACCTATACAATGAAATTACAACCTCTTTAGACTTGTATTCAATATTTCTGTAGATACAACCTAAAATCCTATTTGTCCTACTACTAGCAACAGCATACAGCTTGGATAGCTTTAGAGAATGATTAACAATTACACTAAGATCCCTTTCTTTCATAACATTGTTAAGGTTAGTCCCATCCAATTTATACTTATAATTCAAATTATGATAACCTGAATGCATTATTTTGCATTTATTATAATTAAACCCATTGGCCATTTATTTACCCAACTCACTAAATGATCTAAATTCTTTTTAAATCAGTAGCATCCTCTTCACAGCTAGCAACACCCAAGACCAAGAAAAAGCAAAATTTGATAACCCAGCTATCTCATAATCATCTGATATGTGCCCTCCTTTATCATCCCTCAAGGGTTCTACCCCCATCCTTGCATTTTGTTTGCCCTTAATATACTTAAAGAAATCCTTACTGTTAATTTTTACATTTTCAGCCAACTTTTTTTCATACATCCCTTTTGATGTCCTATTTTCCTGTTTCACCAACTTTCTTCACCTTCCATAATCTTCTAAATCTCCTATCATACCAGTCAATTTAAATTTCTTAAAGTTATGATACTTTTATTTAAATTTATCTCTTATACCTTTTGTGAGCCAACTTGGTTTTTACTTGCATCCCTTTTCTTTCTATAAAGAATATGTTTACCTTGAATATTTAAAAATTTATCTTTAAAAGTTTTCCACAGTGTCTCCGAATAACTCAGCTGCCCAATTCACAGCAGATAATTCTTGTCACATCCATTCAAAATGTGCCTTTTTGAAATTTCTAACCAAAATATCATTATTTCTTATCTCCATTTACAGCAAGACATTGAACCTAATAGAGAAATAATCACTTATACCCTGATGCTCCCCAATTTTCACCCTCTCGATCATTTCTATATCTGAAGTTAACAATAAATCTAAAATAGCATTGTCTCTCATAGGTTCCTTGACCAATTGGTGAAGAAAACCATCTTGAACAGTTTCCAAAAACCATTCTCCCTCACAGTTTGACTCTAGCATTTCCCAATTTATATGCCTGAAATTAAAATCACCCATAATTATGATTTCATTAACAGCTAAAATCTTAATCTCATTGTAAAGTTTTTCACTAATTTCATCAGTATCATTTGGTGGTCTGCAACTAATTCCCACTAAAGCCTTTTCTCTTTATATCCACTAATAGAAACCGAAATGGATTCAATCTCCTTGCTATTATTATTTGATATGTGAAACTTGTTGTTAGGTCCTCTTGGTGGCACCTCTTTGGTTAGCTCGGCCCTGGTTTCCTTCTTCAACTGGTACCTGGACCTTCTCTTCCTCTATCCATTATCCCAGCTCTATTATTTCAACCTCACTTTTTCATCCAGGGTTATCTTCACATGTGGTATTTGTCCAGTCCATCACCCTTAGGGCTGGGTCCTCTGATTGCATAGCCTTCTTATTATCCCTTCTTGTCATCCTTCCACTTAGTCTGTCTATCAACAGAAATGGAAGATTTTTCATCGATGGTCCATCTGCCACTCCCTTCCTCCTGGATGTCCTACTGTAACACACCTTTCTACTATTTTCACTTGGTTGGTCGACAATAGTTTGTTGGTCTTCACCTTTGCAAGTTATCAGGTGGCCATATCCATTACCTTTCATCTTTACCATTACCATAGGGTGTTTTCTTCTCTTGTCTTCACCACTCAGTTCCAATTCTTTCTACTTCACTGACCCCTTCACCTGACTCCCAAACATGACTGAGACCTTAATGTGGTGTTGTACACTCTCACACTTGCTTGTTTGAGCCATTGGCTTCTTGCTCCTTATACCACTTTTCTTTCAAGCCTTACTTCCTTCTCCTTCTTACCCGTGACCACCAGCATTCAGACATCTTTGCAGTTGATGCTTCTCACACTGATCTATTGCACTTATTTACCCCTTTACTCAGACCAGTCCTTTCTTCCTAAGACTGCTCAAGATGGTGATTGCTCTTTCTTTTCTATTTCCCTCTCACCTCTGTGTTCGGTCAGACCAGGATTGAACCTGTGAATGTGGTCGTGTATACAATAGTCAAACTAGAAGAAACGTAAAATTTAGAATAAGTGAACATAAGAGAAATGTTAAAAACAAAAATGGAAACTCTGCATTAGTTGAACATGTAAATTATACTGGATATATAATCTAGTGGGAAAAAATGGTTATTTTGTCTCAACTGAATAATATGACTGCTAGAAGTATTAGAGAAACCATTGAAATGATGAAACAAAGCAAAAACAACTTGATCTTAAATAGGGATGAAGGATTAGAAAATTAGAAAGTAT